GGGAGAGACAGGAACTGAGAGACAGAGAGAGAAGGCTGGGGGTGCAGAGGGGGGCTCCCTACCGCTAGCTCATTTGTTGGAGGCTGAATTATTAGTAGAAAATCTTCATTCCCTTAAAAATCTAGTTCACTGGAGCCATGTGGAACCTTCTTGTGAAGGCCCAGCTTCTTCTCTGGGGCAAAATCTTAACACATGTGGCTTCCTTAGACACATTCTGCTGTCCAGTATCAGAAGCTAGTGTATTCATATGTTAATACTTCATTGCTATGCAAATGAAGCTCATGAACCAGGATTCTGCATATGTCTGAAGGTCACCATGTTTGTTCAGAATGGCCCCTCTCCTCAAGAGGGTGTATGTCTTTGCAAAAGAGGGGAGGTGAGAAAGCATCCCCACGTGGGAGATGGTCATGCTGTAACCCCCTCTCCTTCGTCTCCCCCTCTTGTCGGGATCTTGGACACATATAGGCATGCGCCTGGTGTGTTTCTCAAGTCGTTGGGTCTGGGACTGGAATGTATGGTTGACTGTGAGAACCAGCCCCTTTAACCACCAGATCATGGGCAGGCCCAAGCTTTCTCTCTTTCCCCAAGCTTTCTTTCTTTTCTTAAAATTTATTTTTATTTATTTCTTCTGAGGATGGGAGCGCCCCAACAGGGTCTTCGCTCTGTGATTTATCCCCAGCCTCAGCCAGCATAATGATAGGCACAGAGATCTTCTTGTGTGGTCCCAGCATCACAGAGCTTCTGGCTACCATTGTACCACTGCAGCTGACCCAGTCACCTTTTCCTTTTTAAAAAATTTGCCCAAAATGGGACCAGCAGATGGCTTAATGGTTACATTGCTGGACTCCCACGTAGTCGACCATGGTTTGAGTCCCAGACCTGGTGGCATTAAAACTAATGCTGGGTGTGTGTGCATGAGTGCCCAAAATCTCAAGAGGAGAATGGAGAACAAGGGATTGTGGCATGGTCATCCACCCTGGGGGGTGATTTCTCGCTTTCCGTCTCTCTGGCGAGTGTACATGCCCTATAGCAATATAGCAAAAATCTCTCCCCCTCAAAAAAAAATTTGCCCAAAAACATGAGTGCCCATTAAAGAGAGACACATAGAGAGAGGCAGTGAGGGAATGCCCCTTTCCCATAGGGAAATAATCATGCTGCAATCCCTTCTCTACCTCTTCTTTTGGCATTTTGATCACACACGTACATGTGCCCAGCGTGCCTCTTAAGCTGCCCGAGTTGGACTCAAATCTGTTGTCCACCATGTGGAATCTGGCTACCTTAACCTCCATTCACCTACTGGCCACTATTACTCTGTTCTTCCATAGGATAACGTGCACCATATCATTAGGAAAATGTAATTACATTGTCGCTGGGCAATATATGTGTCTGTCTTGTCTACAAATTTATCTTCTATGTGGAAAAATTGACAGGTTCATCAAATATTTGAATGGGAGTGGGCTGCCTTTTCTTATAACTTTTTGAGTTATGCATTTAGATTCAGTTTTGGAGACAAAGAGGAGTTTGGTTGGAACTACTGAAATGGAAACATATCCCATGGATTTATCCATTTGTTTTTCATCACAGAGATGACTTCCATGTTCAGTCCTCGAGAGTGTAAACTGTCCAAACAGGAAGGAAAGAGCTATGGCTTCTTCCTGCGAATCGAGAAGGACACCGATGGCCACCTGGTCCGGGTGGTGGAGAAGGGGAGCCCAGCAGAGAAGGCCGGCCTCCGGGATGGAGATAGAGTGCTTAGGATCAATGGTGTTTTTGTGGACAAGGAAGAGCACATGCAGGTGAATGAGTCATTTGGGGTTCTTTTAGGATCTCTTCAGCACCCGCATCTTTGCTTGGAGTCAGTGGCAAGGCCAGACATCTTTATTTATTTTTTGTTATTATTTTTAAAAAGAATTATTTTATTGGGACCAGCAGATGGTGTAATGATTGCATTGATGGATACCCGCATGGCTGACCGTGGTTTGAATCCTGGACCTGGTGGCGTAATACTCACACTGGGCACGTGTGCGTGAGTGCCCAAGATCCCAAGAGGAGAATGGAGGAGAAGGGATTGCACTATGGTCATCTCCCCTAGGAGGTTATTTCTCCCTTTCTGACTCTGTGTGTCTTTCTGTCTAGTGTACGTGCCCTGTAGCAAAAATCTCTGCTCTAAAATTTATTTATTTATTTATTTAACTTTCTTTATTTGTTGTTTTTAATTTGATCAGAGAGGGACAGAATGAGAGAAAGAGAGAGGGAAAGTGAGAAAGCAAGATGCTAGGTCCGGGACTTGAACGGTGGTTGGCCATGTGGGAGTCCAACACCCTTAACTACCTTGCTACCTGCTGGGCCCTATTATTATTTTTAATTTGACCAGGGAGAGATTTGGGGCACTCATGCACACATATCTGGCAGGTTTTTCAAGTCACCAAGTCTGGGACTTGAACTGAGTAGTCAGCCGTGTAGGATCCGGCCACCCCAACCACACCCCCTTGCTGGGCCTTGGACCCCTTTAGCACTATACTTGCTGTTGGCAGCCATGTCTTTTACAATGAACCAAGAACAGTAATAGTGTCAGGTCTAATAGGCATTGCGTGTTTGCTCTATGCCAGAAACTGTGCTAGGCAATTTTATATTCATGGTCTTGTTAAAACCTCATCACAACCCTGCAAGTCAGCGCAGATAACTTAGTTTGCTAATATTTCTTTTTCTTTTTCTTATTTGAAATTTTGTTATAAGGCACGTTTGCTCATTTGAGACACACAGAGAGACAGAAAGCAAGAAATTAGCCCTTGGGGGATGGCCACACTGCAATCCTTTCTCCTCCATTCTCTTCTCGAAATCTTGGGTACACATGCACACGTGCCTGGCATGAGGCAAGTCACTGGGTCCGGGACTTTCACCATGGTCGGCCATGTGGGAGTCCAGTGTCTTAACCCATGCCACTTGCTGCCCCCAGTTGGCTAGTAGTTCATGCACTGACATCTGCCTGACTCCAGGTTGGGTGGTCTTTTCATTATGTTATACTGGAAGGACCTGTCATGGTTCAGGGCAGTTTTCCTCTCTAGGGAGAATCAGTTCCTCAGAACCTTCTGGGCGGCGGCTGGGCCACACTGCAGGTTCCACTGGTGCTAGAGGCCTGGCCCAATCTACACCTGGGTCTCGGGAGCACTTGGGGGGAGGTGGGTGGGCACTTCCTGCTTACTACTCAGGGGTCAGTGGTCAGCTACCGGAATCTCTGGGGCCAGATAGTGCACCAGATAATGAGTGTTTATTTCCCTCTGCAGTTGATACAGGGTTATATTTTCCTTCCTTCCTTCTAGGTTGTGGACCTCGTCCGAAAGAGTGGGAATGCAGTGACGTTACTAGTTTTGGATGGAGATTCTTATGAGAAAGCCGTGAAAACACAGGTAGACTTGAAAGAGTTGGGTCAAAGTCAGAAAGAGTTGAATTCAAATGATGAGAAACAGTCCCCTGTCATGAACGGAGGAGTGGAGAATGGAGGAGTGGAGACTTGGACCCAGCCACGGCTCTGCTACCTCGTGAAGGAGGGGAACAGCTATGGCTTCTCTCTGAAAACTGTCCAAGGTGAGCTTGACAGTGAGGCACAACCATGTTCCAGAAGAAAGATGTTGCTACTTAAAAAAAAAAAAAATGGGACCAGAAGTTGGCGTAATGGCTATGTTGCTGGACTCCCATGTAGTTGAC